TTACATTAAAGTCAATGCATTGGAAATTGATAAGCCTAGATACAGAACAAGGAAGAATGAAATTGCTACAAATGTGTTAGGGGTATGTTCACAGGATATGCAATTCATATATATCTTACCTGGATGGGAGGGTTCTGCTTCAGACTCTAGGGTTCTTCGAGATGCAATATCTAGAAGAAATGGATTGAAAGTCCCAAAAGGTATGAGAAAAATATGCATTAAATTATTAACTATTTTAGCTTGACATTATTTAGAGTGATGGACTAAAAATAAATTTTTTTATCATAGGTTTTTTCTACTTATGTGATGCTGGGTATACAAATGGAGAGGGATTTTTAACTCCATATAGAGGTCAGCGTTATCATTTGAATGAATGGAGACAAAATCGCACTCCTCGTTCAAAGGAAGAACTATTTAATTACAAACACTCCGGTGCTAGGAATGTTATTGAGAGATGTTTTGGATTTCTTAAGATGAGATGGGCAATACTTAGAGAGAGGTCTTGGTACCTAGTGAAAACAAAATGTAGAATTATCTATGCTTGTGCATTGTTACACAATCACGTTAGGAGAGAAATGACACATGATCCACTTAAGGATGAAATGGACGAATAGTGTATGGAATCAGAAGTGATGCAAAATGCTAGATACGATCCAATTCATTGAGACATCAAATGCATGGACTACTTGGAGAAATAACTTGGCACAAGAAATGTGGAGTGATTGGATAGCTTCTAGAAATGAAACTTAATTTTTTATTTGGTTCAATAAATGTTGTATGCTTTATTTGTAATAGCTCAAACTTGTGTTGATTGAGACATATTTGTATTTGTTCTTAATTAGATAAGTTATGTTTCTTATTTAACTTTTAATTTACTTATTGTATACTATATATTTGTTATTATGCCTTTTCTATATTACGTTTTATGCTTGTAGATGGAAGTTACATCATCTCAAGGATTAGGGCAAACAAGCAAAAGATCCACCCATCAGTGGACACCTACTGAAGATGGAGTCTTAATTGACTGCTGCATTGATCTTGTGAATGAAGGAAGTTGGGGTAGAGATAATGGGACATTCAAACCTGGTTACTTGCAACAACTTGAGAAATGGATGAAAAAAAGGATCCCAAATTGCAACATAAGAGCTATCCCCCATATTAACTCTAGAATGAGATTGTTGAAGACACAGTATAGGGAAGTTGCTGAGATGATATCGCATCCCGCTTCTGGATTTGGTTAGGATGATGTCAAGAAATGTGTTACTTGTGATGATGATGTTTGGATTGGTTGGGTTAAGGTAATGATTCTAATTTATTTTACAACATTGTTATATTCTAAAGTTTGGCATATATTTATATTTAAATTGTTTATATATATAGACAATTTGGTTATAGACAATTGTTTACAACATTGGGTTTTTTGATGCCTTATATTTGGTTATATATATAGAGTCACCCAACTGCTTCAGGACTTAGAAACAAGCTTTTCCCTCACTTTGATCAATTAGCCATTATATTTGGGAAGGATAAGCAACTGGGGAAGGAACAGAGTCACCAGCTGATGCAATGGAGAACATAGAAACTGAGAAAGTTGCATTTGCAACAACAAGGGTAGCTTCAGAAGCTTTCAGTGCATTGAATGTTGATGAAAATGACAATGGTGATGATGATGTTTCTCCTGCTCAAGCTACCAATAGTGAAGGATCCACTGCTGCTAGAAAAAGGACTGCAGAGCAAGGTGAGACAGAGATGACTCGCAAAAAAACTAGGAGAACAAGTAATGGTGACAACATTGTTCATGCATTCCAATCTAGTGTGGATAAGATTGGAGAAATCTGTCAAGGTGCAAGGGAAGGAATTGATAAATTAGCAAGTCGTTTTTAATTCATGGCTGAAGATGCAAGGTTGAAAAAGCGTGTTGTTGAGATAGTTCAGGGAGTTGAAGGCTTGACTTCCAAAGAAATTGTTAAGGCTAGACATATCATCTCTAGTGATATGTGGAAGATAAATTATATGTTTTCATTATTAGAGAAATTGCAAGGAATTTATGTGAAGGCTTTGCTTAATGGCTCAATCTGATGCAATGATGGGTATTGTTATTGCAAAAAACTAGTTATCAATTTAGGGTGAACTTTAGTAATGTTATTAACTTTGAACTCTTTTGTATTTTAACAATGGTGGGTCTATCCTCTAGGTGACTTCAACTTTGAACTCTTTTGCATTTTAACAATGGTTTGGTTTAAAGCATTAATCAAAGAACTTCATTTATGAGTTTCAGTTATATAGTTTTGATGGTGTTATGGTTGATATTTTGTTTTAGCTTGATAGCAAGTTATTTTGAATTTATGATATTTTTAGAAGAAATTAATTGGAGATTGAGAATTAGGGGCATTTTGTTGTCAATTTGTTATTGGTAGCTATAGCTTAGTAACCTAACTAAGAGAAGAAAAAATCTACAATCTACTCTGTCACATGAACCAAGAAGTAGCATCAACGCCTGCAGCGCCACACTCCCGCATGCAGCGTTGATGCTACGCTTCTGCATGTCCCAACGCTGTCCTTTAGTGAAGGCAATAGCATCAACGCTGCAGTGCCACACTCCCAGCGTTGCAGCATTGATGCTACTGCCTTCACCAAACAGCAGTCTATGACATTGGTGAAGGCATGCCAAAATAACCATGCTTAATAAAGAAAAATCCAAACCATATTATTATAACCCTGCTATAATAAAGAACACAATCATCCTGATTGTAAAAAGAAAGTTTATGCCCCATCAGACCTTAGTAGATGACATTGACCATATTTATAAGCTCAATCTGATGATATTGTCATAGACTGCTGTTTGGTGAAGGCAGTAGCATCAACGCTGCAGCGTTGGAGTGTGGCGCTGCAGCGTTGATGCTATTGCCTTCACCAAGGGGACAGCGCTGGGACATGCACAAGGCAGTGGCATCAACGCTGCAGCGCCACACTCCCAACGTTTCAGCGTTGATGCTACTGCCTTCACCAAACAGCAGTCTATGACATTGGTGAAGGCATGCCAAAATAACCATGCTATAATAAAGAAAAATCCAAACCATATTTATTATAACCCTGCTATAATAAAGAACTACAATCATCCTGTATTGTAAAAAGAAAGTTGTGCCCCATCAGACCTTAGTATATGACATTGACCATATTTATAAGCTCAATCTGATGATATTGTCATAGACTGCTATTTGGTGAAGGCAGTAGCATCAATGCTGCAGCGCTAAGAGTGTGGAGCTACAACGTTGATGCTATTGCCTTCACCAAGGGGACAACGTTGGGACATGCACCAAGCAGTGGCATTAATGCCGCAGCGCCACACTCCCAACGCTGCAGCGTTGATGCTACTGCCTTCACCAAACAGCAGTATATGACATTGGTGAAGGCATGCCAAAATAACCATGCTATAATAAAGAAAAATCCAAACCATATTTATTATAACCCTGCTATAATAAAGAAATACAATCATCCTGGATTGTAAAAGAAAGTTGTGCCCCATCAGACCTTAGTATATGACATGACCATATTTATAAGCTCAATCTGATGATATTGTCATAATGCTGTTTGGTGAAGGCAATAGCATCAACGCTGCAGCGCTGGGCAAACAGCAGTCCCAACTAAGCAATAACCGTGGATTTGCAAGCTATATATATCCTCTGAATTTAGTCCTTGGGAAAAGATGAGGCTTAGGAACTTTTTGGTAATCGAGCTTTTTCAAGCAATCTCGGTGGATGTCCATCATATCTTGATTCATTGGCAAGGAATCTAATTGAAAGATGTAAAGGCTTGCCCAAGGCTATTGTGGCTTTAGGCAGTTTGATGTCTTCTAATAAATCAATAGTAGAATGGAAGAAAACTTGAATTGGGAGCTAAGCAATAACTGTGCACTTGAATTAATGAAAATCATCTTACTGCTTGGTTACCATGATTTGTCTTTCCAACTCAACCATTGCTTCTTATATAATTGTATTTTTCTGGAAGATCATGAGATTGATCTAAAAACACGTAGGGGAGAGTTCTCATCTCTCCTGACTCCTTTATCAAAGAGAGTCCTCATCTCTCTTGGCTCTTTAATTTTTTTTTAATTTTTTTTCTTATTAATCGGTTGAACTTGTATCAATGGCTGTAATTTAATTTTATAAAATGGTTTTTATTAAATAATAAATTTACTACAGAATTTGCCATAAAAATACATGTTAAACTTGTATTTTAATATATAAGGGTAGTTTTGAAAATTAACATTACATTCCTTGTAAAGTACTTATAAAACAAACACTACAATGTTATATTTTCTGCATTTTAATTATTACATTACTTATATATCAAACACTGCAATGTTATCTTCTCTGCAATCACATTGCATTGTAAAGTACCAAATGCCACCTTATAAATTGAAATGGTGTACTTTCTTTACCCTTACTCATTCAGAAAATGAGATAGATGCTACTGTTAAAGAGTTAAAGAAGCATATGCTCTGATTATAAAACAGGTGTTATCAATTTAAAAAGGTCAGAAAATAGTAAAGCACCTAAAAGCAATCAAACCGTTATTAGAAGAACTCAATGAGGTGATGCTAGAAGCAGTCATAAATAGGCATATTCATAATTTTAATATTTTCTTTGTTTAGTTAAAGTCATAAATAGAAATTATATGTTTTTCTTTTTTATTTAATTTAATTATATTATTAGAACTTTAGACTAATCATGTTATAATTAGAAATAAAATATTTATTTTATTTCAATCTCTTGTTAACGACTCTAATTGTACTAGATAACCAGAAATAAAGTTTTATTGAAATGTAGAGTTTTATTAGAACTTGGACCTATAACACTTTAAACTTAATTTTTTTTTTTTATGAAATAACATTATAGATTTCTTCTCTCAACTTGGAATTTGTTTTTGCATTTGAAACTTTGTTATTTGACAGGTGTTGCGTGAGATCCATATATTAAAATTCTCAAGTTTTACGTGCCATGGAAACCCCACGGGAGTTGATGGAGCTGATCACCTTCAATACGCAGAACCTTTGTAGCTTCTACGATAGATTCAGTGATCTTCCAGAACCCATCATTCTTCATGTTTTCTCATTCCTGGGTTCCAATGATATTGTTCGGCTGTGTTATGTATCTAGAAAATTTCGAAAGCTATGCATGTCTAGCCCTTACTTGTCATTCACGTTAACATTCGATTCTGAAAAATGCACGGCCAAGCTGCAGAGGTTCCTAAAGGATTTTATGAGTATACATAATGCACCAGAGATTCATCGTATTCGACTGCATTGGCTTTGCCACTCCGTCAGATATGATGCTAAAGGATCTATTTTTGGTTTGCGGGTTCAAAAGGCTGTAAGGAATAAGGTCCAAGAGCTGGATATTGGGGTTCCTGTAAAACCTCATAAAGCCTTCTACTTGCCTGCTGGTGCAGAGTCGCTGAGGGTGTTGAAATTGAAGTTGCAAGGGGGCAATTTAAAATCGTTTGCATCTGTGTTTGCCTCTCTCGAGACCTTGTCACTAAATTCGGTATCCATACCTTGCTTGGAATTTGGAGAATGGGTGTGCAATTCCTGAAATTCCCTTAAAGTTTTAAATCTCGAAAAGGTTAATGGCATTGGCAATCTCAACATTAGCAGTTCATCTCTCAAAGTCTTGACAATAGTTTGTTGCGCTGATGATGAAGATGGTTTGGTTTCAGCTTATCCGGTCACCAAAGACTGCAAGATTTTCATCGACTGTTCCTCCCTTGAGAACTTAGCAATCTCTAAATGTCTGTTTGACGGCTTGCATCTTAATGTCAATGCACCTTCTCTCAAGGGTCTGGAAATCTCTGACTGCAAAATGTATGACAACTTTGATATTAGCATCTCAGCTGAGCAACTGCAAACATTGACTTTGACTATGCAATTGATGAGTTTGTCTCCGGTCTGGCCGCATATGTAGAATCTACTCAGAGAACTTGCTGTCTCTACGCAACGCCACCCTTAGTCTTGGAGATAAAATGTAGGACGAATTCACCAATGATGGCTTGGCTGAGCTTATTGATAGTGTAAGATATGCCAAAATTCTAAGATTGAGCTTTCAGATTATTGAGGTAAGTATAATATTCTAGTATGTTTGTATATAGTCCTTACTGTCTTGTCTTGTAAAATGTCTTTGCTACGTCCTTTGGCATTCCCTTATAATCTCTGCTTCCACAGAGCTGACCAATTTTCGATATTTATGCAGGCTTTGTTTATAAAGGATCAACTGCAGGATATAACATTCCAAAATTTGGAACATTTGGAAGTAACAGTTTCCCAGTTAAACTTAGATGACATCACCGCAATAGCTGCCTTTCTTGTGGAATCTTGCAGTCCAAAGACTCTTACATTGAGATGCGATCCGAGTGCCAGAGAACTTTGTGAAACTGAGGTTGGTAACGGCTCAACATTTGGTTTTCCAGTGGGATCGAATTTTCAGCTATTTAATTTTTTTGGCATAACGTTTTTCCATTGCTCTTGCGGATAGTCGACCAACTATGCACAGAAGTGGAGAAGTTTGGGGCTGAGTGTGGAAATATGAAGATTACTTGCAGTGTAATCAACTGAAGGACAGTGAAAAAGAAAAGGCTTTCATGGGGGTGGAGAACAGAAAAGGCTTTGACTGCAAATAAAGCTGGCCCTAGTTGTTTCTTTCCTACTAATCCTGCTTGCCTTTATAATTGTCTTCGTTTAAGACTATTTCATAGTATTCAAATTTGACAATAATGAAAAGGGTATTGAAATTTCACATAGATGAACTTATAATCAGGTTTCACAACTTTTTCTTAAGATTTTCTCATATAACAAAGAACAAGCTACGAATACTTTCCGATTTTTTTTTTTTTTTGTGTTTTTGAAAGGCATTAAAGTTGATTTACTCCATAAACAAAAAAAAAAAGCCTTTAGCATACAAATATATAAATTTGACACCAGTTACTGATGCTAGCAAAGCCCTCACCACCGAGCGTGGGGAGGTACGGGGATCGATGCCCCGCATCTCCATTTAAACATTTTCTGGACCTGGCACAACTTGCGCAATTTTACTGTCACTTACTTTACTACTGGATGGAGAGAATCCAAGTATATGGATTCTAAGCCTGTTGGTAGAGCTACCACTTTGTTTTTGTTGTTGTGGATGATGACCATCATAGACAAAATATAAGAAGATGAAAGAACTGGCCAAAATTGCAAGAGCAAAGACAAAAGCGGCTGCAACAGGGTGAATAAAGGTGGAGAATTGATAAGCAAATCCAAAAAAGATGACACTGGTTAAAACCCAGATGACAGATTTCAAGAAATCTTTCCTTGGCGAACGATCCTGGGGAGGTAAAGTTTGCAACAGTGTCATGCAATACATGAGAAAGAAATACGCAAGGTAAACAAAAAAGATGAAAGCTGCCATGGGAAAGTCACCATGAGCGTAGGCCTGGTAGATTGTGGAGATGATGTTGAACGTGAGGTAGAAGTGAGCTACGGCTGGAAGGAATATGGGTATTTCAGGAGTATTTGTGTTTTGGGTTTGATCATTGGTTGGCAGCATTCTGTTGAATCGGAAGTTGGAGATTTGCTGTTGAAATTATGCTTACTCTAATGGGAGATTGCTGGTTCGTTTCGAGAATGACATGGTTTTGGAGTTGAGAGCAGCACCAATATATACTCAGTGAGTCTTGAGTTTGTGAAATTACAGAGAAACTGCGTTGAAGATGTCTGGATATGATAGAAGAAAGCTCTGGTCCTCCTAGAAGAAGAAAAACAACAGAATATACGCGTAACACTTTACATGAAGTTTCCTGGCAAATTGGTAATTTTCTTCTTTTCTTATCAGAACTTTCATGGAAGTTGGAGCAATTAAGACTGTAAATTCAGTGGAAAGTTAAGAGTATAAATTCATGGAAACTCTGAAAAATGAATTTGGATATATGTTACTTGGGCTTAGCTCAGCGATCAGCCGATCAGGCTATAGAATTAAAAGTAAAAATTTTATAATTAAATACTTAATAATAATAATAATACTTCCTTTCAACTGAAAGAAATATGGATTTCAGTATGAGAGAATAAAATGTTTCAAAAATTAAATATTAAAAAATCTTGGTAAAGGTCAAATTGTTTATATTATTATTATTATTATTTAGTTTATTAAATCTCAAAAGCTTAATATATAGATTATATATAAAATTTCTTACAAAAGGTGTAAAAATATTGAATTCATGGAATTTTACTAAACTTTAGGCAATTACTCAATTTGTTGTACATAGTCAATTTTAGTTAATATCTATTCTCTAAATAATTATTTTATAATATAATATTGTATAAAGAATAATAAAAACAAGTGAAGCACTACTTCATATAGAATAATTAAAACAAGTGAAGTACTATTTCACACACAACAACTAAAGTAAATAAAGTATTATTTCATGTGAAACAATTAATATTATTAGAATAATCACTTCAGATAGATAATAGTGAAAGTAACATGAAATAAATGACAAGATTTATAAGTTACTTTCATCTTGATATGTTTTGAAGAATTTAACTTGATAGCTTAAATGTAAAGATAATTAAAAGATTTTCTTCTTAACATTTTCTTAAAGTACAAATGTTTCACTCTTCCATCTTATTCTCATATATTTGTTTACGTACAACTTTTTCTTTGACACCTTTTCACATACATCTTATTTTCATATAACTTTTCTTATACACCTGTTCTCTATTACTTTCAAATTGAAAACAAATCTTATTACACTTAATTACTTTAACGGTCGCTCACATTATATGCCATAACATCATCCCTTTATTGTCCACATAATGTGTTACCATAACGGTTAGTCTCATTAAAACTCTTTATAATAATATAATTCATTAAGCATATTAAAGCCTATTTTTGAAAAATTTACATTTTTTGCATTATATATAAAGCCTCACAATTCATTTAGAGGGACTTCTCTTATTGAGAAAAACTAACACATTCTCTTCTAGTGCTTCTTTCTAAATTCTCTCTCTAATTCTCTTCTTATTATATAATTTTTTTTTACTTATCACAATACTCAATACTTCAGGAATTATTATGATCTTTCTCTTTATTATCTTTAATGCATCCTTTTACTTGTTTGCAATACTTACTCTCCTTAAAAACCCCTTTTACATTTATTAATCTCGACTCAAAGATTTTGGACAATAAGCCCAAATTAATCATGTGTTAATTTTTTTATCAAGTATATATAATATTAATTGTTGAGTTTTGATAAAAAAAAAATTAAATTTTAATGAATATATAAAATGAGATGTTTATTTTTTTTAATTTTGTATAAATGAAGATTTGAATTGATTTTATTTTTTTAATTTAATTTAAAAATTTATAGAAATACAAATTTTCTACTTTGAAATCCAACTTCTTTTAGAAATATATTGAATAAAATAAATCCCTCTGTATTCATAAAACACTCGGAATAAAGAGGAGAATCAAATTCCATTCCCCCGTCCAGTCCAAGAGAGGGATACTATAGAATCCACAAAAGAAAAAGAAATTCTAGTCATACGGATCGGGTCATTCAAACCCTACATAAACCCCGATAACAAGCTCCGATAACAAAACCGCAAACAACCATGTCCTATGGCGGTAAAACCATGGCGGCGCCGGCGGCTGTGAGTGGCTCCGCCTCGGCGTCGACGATAAAGCAAGTGAAGTTAGAGCGAGAGAGCGAGCTGAGAATCGAGGTGGGTAGTGAAACGCCGCTTAAGCTCCGACTTCTTAACGGCTCAGCCGAGATTTTCGGATCCGAATTGGCCCCTGAGATATGGCTCACTTTCCCTTCTCGCCTCAAATTTGCTGTAAGTTTCGAAGATTCCTCTGCAACAGTAGAAAATGAGTTCATCTTGAGCAGAATATGAATATTTTAGTTTACAATTTTAGCCTTGTTTAGTAGTTCAGATTGAAGTGTACCAACTTTTATAAATTGGTGTCTATGGGGTCCGTGAATGGATCGTTTTCCATGAATAGTTTCATTAGGAAGAAATGAAATGCAACATCAAAAAGTTTTCCTTGTTATGTAATGGTGATTTGATGCGTTTTTAATTTTGTCATTTGCTTTATCCAAATAGTTTTGTCGTAGTTAGTCGTGGTTTTCGTGCTTTTGAAGGCAAAACAAAGAAACTCAATGACTATTTCATTCATGGGTTATTTGGCTACGCCATGTGGTATTAAAAGGGAATTTGTTCATGTATAGGTTTTCACTTGGTATGGAGCTACAATCGAGATGGATGGCACTACTGAAACTGATTATATGGCAGATGAGGTGCTTCTTTAAATTTCAAACTTTTTGGAATGTGATTTAGATACATGCTTTACTGTAGTGCAACATGAAGGGCAGATCTCAAAATTCACATGATGATTGCTGATTCTGTTGCAATGGTTGATTTGTAGACACCTATGGTCAGTTACGTCAACGTGCATGCTGTATTGGAAGGACGTAGAAACCGTGCTAAAACTTCTTCACCTAATGATTCTGAGGCATCCCAGGTATTTTTTTCATTCGTTTCCTTTTACAACCTCTGACAGAAGTTATGTATTTGACATCAATGAGTAGAGGCATTTAGAATATCTTTTGCTCCTTTTAACCTTTTCAAATGTAGTTTTTACAACCAGTATGAGAATTGGTTTTAATTTAAGACGGTTCTGTTTTAGAAGGGCTTTGTCTTTCTTAGATTACACTTACATTTTAATGGTGTTACTATTCTAATGTTTCAATTATCATCCATTTTTGGTATTAATAATACTATTGAAGGATTTACTTTTTTTTTCTTTTCTCAGCACCTTGAAGGATGTAATTAGGTTCCTCTTTTTAACCTTTTGCTTTGGTATCTTTGTGTTTCATTGTGTGCTAGCTAATAATATTTGTTTTCAACTCCATTCGAGCACTCATGCCTAACATTTATATGTCACTGTGATACTTTTGGGTGGGTGGTCAGGGACCCAGGGTGATTGTTGTGGGGCCTACAGATTCTGGAAAGAGCACCTTATCAAGGATGCTTCTTAGTTGGGCAGCTAAACAAGGTTGGAAACCTACCTTTGTGGATTTGGATATAGGCCAAGGATCTATAACTGTTCCAGGATCTATTGCTGCTACGCCTATTGAAATGCCCATCGATCCAGTGGAAGGAATTCCTCTTGAGATGCCTCTTGTTTACTATTATGGCCATACAACTCCTAGGTATAACTAACTTTGTGTTTTCTGATTTTTTTTTGTGGTCATATATTTTCTTTGGATAAAATACAGACTGATTGACAAATAATGAGAAATTTTGTATGGCCATATACTCTTTTTTAGATTCAATTTGTCGTTAAAATTCTATGATATTTATGGATCTTGCTGGTTTGCAGTAATAATGTAGATTTGTATAAAGCACTTGTGAATGAGCTTGCTCAAATGCTGGAGACTCAATTTGCTCATAATGCTGAATCACGAGCTGCCGGCATGGTAATCAATACCATGGGTTGGATAGAAAGTACAGGCTATGAGGTAATGAAGTTTGAACCTTCTACATATGTAAATGCTGATAAATTTAATGGTTATGTTTGCTTTTATTAATATAAAAAGTATCATTTTTTGGTGTTTCTGACTGTTCTTGATGTTCTATATCTTCCGGCAGTTGCTTCTCCATGCAATTGATATATTTAAAGCCAATGTTGTCTTGGTTTTGGGTCAGGTAATCACCAACATTGTCCTTTTTATTGGTTTTTTCCTTCTTGTTTTAAGTTCAAACTAAAGTAATTCTAATACATGAGCATTTCTTAAAGTATCCCTTGATCTTATCTTTTCTTTTATGCTTAAGTTTTTCTTTAGACTTGCAACTCCTATTGTATGGCCCAAATGATATCGTTGCTCCTAACTCACTTCAGAATGAAGTACATATTGGTATTTTTTTTGTTTACTCAGTAATCTTTCTAAACTCTGTGCAGGAAAAACTGTTCAGCATGCTAAAGGCTGTAGCAAAAAGTAAGCCTAATGTGGATGTTGTGAAACTTCAGAAGTCAGGGGGTGTTGTATCCAGGAATGCAAAATTCCGTCAGAAGGCTAGGGCTTACAGGATAAGGGTAAGTGCTATGTTTACAGTCAGTGGATGGATTCTTTCATTTATGTTTTATTCCTACTTTCCTTCCATGTTTGTTTCATCAGAAATTCATTGTTTCATACTTGTGACATGCCTTTTAAAGGGAAATAAGGAAAAAAAAGAAAAGTCGGAATGACGAATGATAAATGGTGATTTTCTTTTTTTTTAATGACATCACAAAGTAATGGATGATAGTCAAGTATCTCTTTGCATTTAGGAGACCAAATTTATAGTTCATTTTCAATTGGTTGGCGATAGTTTGGGTCATTGATGCCTTAAAAATCTGGTTTCTCCCTGTCTCTTATTTTTTGTTTTTAATTTTTTTTTAAATTTATTCATTTATTGTGAAGGGATATGGATAGTTGTATTTCTCTTGATTTCATAATGTTTGCACTGTATTTTCATCCTCCTGACAAGCCTGGTCATGCTGTTGATTCTACCAGGAGTACTTTTATGGCCTCGCAAATGATCTTTCCCCTCATTCTAATATTGCAAACTTTAGTGATCTACTGGTCTATCGGATTGGTGGTGGTCCACAGGCCCCAAGATCAGCTTTGCCAATTGGTGCAGATCCTGTTGCTAACCCTTTAAGAGTAACTCCTGTGAATATTGACCAGGATTTGCTTCATACTGTTCTTGCTGTTTCATATGCCAAGGAGGCTGACCAAATTTTGTCAAGGTTAGTTGTTGCTTCTTGAATCTCTTACCAAATCTTTAGTCATCGAAGTAACTAGGAAGAATGAGCGAAGTTATAGATCTATTTCATGTAGGAGAGTATCAATATAGTGGGATTTTCCATAAGGTTCCTATTGTTTAAATGCTGAAATAAATGACCTAAGTTTTCTGAGGCATGTATGCTGTAGCTTCTTAACAATCTTATGAATTGATCTACAGTCAGTCATCACGACTAACTACCAGGGTTTAATTTAAGTTGAATTAGTGACTACTGTTCAAGTTGACTGCAATTGCAACAAGTTGTATGATTTTGTTATGTAGATCTGACATCTGTTGTGCTCTGTTTATGTGTAGCACACAACCGGGCTATACATGTAGGAACTTCACACATTGAACAACCTTTCTAACTGTAGGATAGTTCATGGTCGGTTGATCTAGAGAATTTATTTAGCACACGTATGAATAAAAAAATTATATATTCTCTCTTGCTTTCTCTGCTGCTTACAGGATTCCTTTTTGGTGCAGTAACGTTGCTGGGTTTATTTACATCACTGACATTGATATTCAGAGGTTTGAATCCTGAGCTCTTATAACACTTTAGTATAATTTCTTACATAAGTATAGGTTTATTTCTTGTACCTTTTTTATTCTCAACTTTTGCTCTACTTGGAACATTGCAGGAAGAAAATTACATACCTTGCACCATCAGCTGGGGATCTACCAAGCAAATATTTGATTATGGGAACCTTGACATGGCTTGAAACTTGAATCATCTTTGAGCAAATATATTTGATTCTGCCTGTTTTTCTCCTACTGAAGTGTAACAGAGGAGCTGTAACTTTAACAAGTCGAATGCCTGATGTGATTTAGCTTGTACCATCGAAACTTTATATCTGTAAAGCAATTAAAACTTGTCATGCTTCCTGGTTTTGGTATTACCAATTTGTTGCTCTTAAGCAATCTTGATAGTTAATTGAGTGCTGCTGTTTCACTTTCGTGCTTCCATATTTAGGTCAAGCTTGCTCAAGGAAGAAGCCAATATTATCAATATATATCGAAATCACTGGCTTATGGGCCGACCCGGCTGTTGAAACTTGTCTTTTCCCGCGATGAGGTGGAAGGAAAAGAGAAAACAGGATTTGGCGGTGCAGGCATCGGCCGGCGGACAGTTGCACTGGAGCATGTTTAGAAGGTCATGAAGAGAGGGAAAGAAAAAGAGGAATTTTTTCCAATACATATGGTGGGTAGGGTTAGTAATTTCTTACAAGTAGGGGTATTTTTGTTTAAAATAAGGCCCAAGAGACCTTAATTGGCAATTAAGGTGCCTTAGGAACCTTACTCTTTTTTTTTATGTAATAAATGTCCTAATTTTTTGTTAGTAAATATGAAAAAGAGTCAAGAAAAAAATATATTTTATATGAATTGTAATCATATGTCAATCAGTTTCGTATGATTGCAATTCAATGTAACAATAACTCTTTTACATTTAGAAAATAAAATCTTATTATTATTTAATAATTTTAATTAATATTAATCAAAAGTTTTAGATACATCTTTACTTGTATATATATTATGAATTATAAATTATCGATGTACATTATATATTTTATAAATAGATATAGAGTAAAAAGAGAGATAAAGTTATATTATTAAAGCTCTTTTCGATATACACAATATAAACTTGTATAAATTAATACTTTTGAATTCATCAAAATTTATTAATTAATCGAGATATAATTTAATCGATAAATTAATAATTTATTAATTTATACATCAATTAATAAAAAAATAATTTATTAAGTTTTTTTTTTTAAACATTGAACTTAATACATGTATTTTACATCATTTTCTTTTACAATACAAGAACACTACATTAGAGATTTTTATTGCACTAAAAAAAGTTAGAAACGAAGTACAATGAGACATCAATTTTAAGAGAAAAGAAGTAAAATTGGAGTAATATTTTATAAAGGTCTCCTAATTGAGTCATGTAATGTGTAAGGAGATTATTAATTTATATATCAAGTGAGACCTATTTGTTTTTTTAAAATACATTATCTTATCAATTTAATGAATTATTAATTCACCACATTAGTCCTAAATTGAGATCAATCAAAAATATTATTTAATTGAGATTATTAATTTATTAAGTATTAATTTATAGAGGTTATTCTTTACTATGATTCCAACTTAGTGAAGATAATGAAAAGAAGAAATTAAGGATAAAGCAAGAAGCAGTCCATTCTTCTTAGATAAAAACAAAGGATAAACCTCTTTTATATATATATATATATATATATATATATATATATGCACACACATATGACTCTTAACACAAAACTTTGTTTTTGTTTCATGACTAATTTGACTATGACTATGGCCACCTGCAAACGACTCTTCTTAATTCTTTTGATTCAATGCATTTTATTGGCTGGATCTTGTGATAATCAACACTACATTTTTGATGTCATTAATTTTGGAGCCATTGGAGATGGAGCTAACGATGATACAGAGGTTTTTGAATATTAATGACAGCAACCATTTTTTCTAGGGTGTATATATATAAAAGCCAATGTTTTTATTATTATTTTTGACTATTTATTTACAGTTTAAGTGTATAATTTTAGGCCTTTGAGCATGCTTGGGATGCTGTTTGCGGATCTTCAGTCTCTTCACCAACCTTCCTTGTACCTGGAGGAAAGACCTTTGTGCTACAACCCTTGACTTTCAATGGCCAATGCAACTCAACTACCTTCACTTTCCAGGCAATTATATCTCTTCTCCCATATCAATTCTATCGTGTTTTGCACCTTTTGGTCAGAATGGCTGCAAGCATAGTGAGCCTGGATGCATATATATAGACTCGTTTTCATTTTTTTAAACCCATGAAATGGTCACTAGCACTAGAAGTGTTCTATATACGTAAGGTCAATCATTAAAAATGTAGATAATTTTTGGATTTACCAACCTCTTTTTCTGATTTCTTTGCCTTGTGCAGATTAATGGCACTATCATTGCCCCAAGCAATCCTTCTGAATGGAAATGCAATGATAAAAACTGTCACGAGTGGATTACGTTTGAACATTTTGATGGCCTCTCCATTCAAGGATCTGGTACCATCAATGGCCAGGGAACAAACTGGTGGACTCTTTCTTGCGAAGATAATGAAGAGGTAATTGGCATCACATTTTGTATACACATAGAAACCCAATTTAAAGGAGAAAAATAAATTGTCTTAATTTGTAAGTTGTAATCTATCTGCTGCTGACATGTTCCTTGCTCTGCTCGCAGGTCTGTGACAAAAAGGCAACGGTAGGTGGACCTCTCAAGTTGAAGTAGTTTTGGAGTTGTTAAAAGGTATGCATACCTACATAGAAAATTAAGTTAAGGTCCAGTAAGTCTAACTGCAATGTTGAATTTGTCCAGGGCTTTGTTATAGCACACTCCAACAACGTACAGATTAGTGAGTTAACCTTTGAGGACAGTCCCAAAGTGCACATCTCATTAGAAAGGTCTACGTTGATTAATGCCACCAGACTCACAATCCAAGCCCCAGGGGACAGCCCCAACACTGATGGCATTCACATCCAGCACTCCACTAATGTCTCCATAGACCAATGTCTCATCCAGACTGGTACATGATCCATCTCATCCTGCATGCCACTAATTTAACCTTGTGTTTTTTTATTTCATTCCATGCGGTTTTTGATCTTTCAGGCGATGATTGTGTATCAATCGGAGACGGTTCATCATACATCGATATTAGCAACATCAACTGCGGTCCAGGCCATGGGATCAGGTAAATAGCAACTTCCTAGACTATACTCTTTGTGCTGCATATATATATTATATATGATCTTCCTCTTCCTTGTTAAACTTTATTTATTGGGTTTTTCTTTATTCTATTCTTCACCCCCTTCCCCTGAAGCATTGGAAGTCTTGGAAGGAATGGAAACAATGAGAGCGTTGAATTTGTTCATGTAAGGGATGTTTCTTTCAACAGATCAACGAATGGGGTTAGAATAAAAACATGGCAGGTAATTGTGGCACTCATTGCCATGTATTATACTTATAGTAATTATATTCAGAATAAAGCATTGTGTTCGATGCGTTTAGGGAGGACATGGGCATGTAAGAAACATAACATTTGAACGTATAACATCTCATGGCGCAAGACGACCTATCATCATCGATCAATATTATTGTCCCCATGATCATTGCAGCAATGAAGTAAGTGAATGAATGGCTTCCTAGTCCCATTCATATATTTTTCTAGCCCCCATGAACATTCTTTCTAATCCTTGTTGTGTGGGTGTGTGTGCTATTGCAGACCTCGGCGGTGGAGATTGACAATGTTGCTTACAGTCAAATAGAAGGGACAACAGACAAAGAGACTGCAGTGCAGCTTGCATGCAGTGAATCAACTCCATGCACAAACATCTTCATGAAAGACATAAATTTGCGATATGAAGAAGATGAAGAGAAGACTTCATCATATTGTTTGAATGCTCAAGGGTTGAGAAATGGAAGAGTTAGTCCCAATGTAACTTGTTTACAACAAGATGATAATTTCTAAATACGATATATTGCTTCTTATGACTTTGTAATTTCATTTTTCAAGTTTTGGATTTTTGGTTTAGAAATATCTATGAACGGTTATATATATATATATATATATATATATATATATATATAGTTTCATTTATAACAAAATATGGAAAATGTCTCATTTAGTCTTTATAATTAAAAAAAAAAATTTGGTGATACATGTAACTAACACATGGCATAATTTCATTAGTAAAAAATTTAGAAAATTTAAAAGAATTATTTATTTTTCTTTCTTTTCTTCTCTCGCCTCTCATGTGTCAAAATTGTAAGACAAACGAGAAGCTATATATATGACAAGCATGTTTATACACATTTATGATATAGAAAACATAAGAGTATTGAATATTTAAAAAAAAGAATTCATTTAAGGATATCTACACAATTTTTTAAATTATTTCATAAACACTATTATTGGATTAAATTTAATTCATAAATATTATAAATTAATAATGTTAGAATTTTGGGCCCATGAGTAGGTCCGATCAAGTAGTTGTAGGCCCAACCATCCTTCAGACTAGGCTTTTGGGCCTATCCATAAGTAGGCCTGAACAATACTGGGCAATTCTCAGACAAATTAGGCCTTGGGCTTTTACCAGAAGAGCCTGTGGCTTTCTATTATAGGGTTTTGCAGGAACCACCTCAGTTTCCCCCATACATTGTTGCAGTTCAGCGGTGCTATCGGCGGTGGTAAAGGTAAATTTCTCTTTGTTTTCTTCTGCTCTTTTTTTTTGCTTCGTAGAGTTAATTTATTGTCATGATAATTTGGTAGTATCAAATCATGCGTATTAATCGCTTTCGGATTTCATAAAGAGCAAAAAAATTCACGCGTATTTATCTAGTTTGTGCTGTTGGGATTTTGATACTCTTTTTTCATATTAAATTGGGATTGCTTTTATTTGGTTATTTTTTCTTTTTATATGATTGAGCTTTTCTTAGGTATGTGTAAAACTTTTGAATATATTGAACTTTAGAGATTGTCCTTACATTACTTTTTTATTTTATTTTATTAAAATTATTGGAAATCTGGGTTTCTCTTGTTTTAACTTGGAATTTTGTTGTTGTATTATTTCTTTGCAAGAAAAAAAAAAAGTGGCTTTTGCTGATTGTAAAGACCAAAGGGTTAACTTTCTTATTCTGCCATTTATGTCTGTTGCTTATAGCTGTTCATATATATACACTTGTTGTCTTTATTTTTTTGTGACCGGCAGCCATGGCTGCAAATATGTTTGTGGTTCCTCAAACAATAGGTAGTGTCTTGTTGAATAGTATGTTGAACTTAGGAGATTGTCCTTGAATTTGATTTTCATTTCAAACTCATTTTAATCTGGGTTTCTCCTGTTTTAACCTAGGATTTTGTTAATTTTAAGTTTTTACAATAAAAGCAGCGGCTTTTAAGTTAACCTTTCATGTGAACAACATAAAGGTTAACTTGCTTATCTCTAATAGTTTATTCTTAGCCTTCTTCCACCATTGATTTCTATTGCTTTGAACTGTTATATACTTATTAATATCGTCTTGTTGTTTTCTCTTCTTTATGCACCAGTAGCTATGGCTGCAAATATGTTTGTGGTTCCTCAGACAAGAGGTACTGTCTTGTGTTGCAAGTGTGGTATTCCAATGGCACCAAATCCTGCCAACATGTGTGTGACATGTTTGCGGTTGGAAGTTGACATCACAGAAGGTTTACGAAAGCATGTGATCATTATGTATTGTCCTGAGTGTGAAAGCTACTTGCAGCCCCCTCGTACTTGGATAAAAGCTCAATTGGAATCGAAGGAACTTTTGACATTTTGTGTTAAACGACTGGAGAGTGATTTGAAAAAGGTTAGGCTAGTAAATGCTGAATTTATTTGGACTGAACCTCATTCTAAGAGAATCAAGGTCAAGCTGAAAGTTCAGAAGGAGGTTCTTAATGGAGCAATTCTGGAGCAATCTTACGTTGTTGAGTATGTTCAACAAGATCACATGTGTGAATCTTGTACAAGATTTCAGGCCAATCCTGACCAGTGGGTGGCTGCAGTGCAGCTCAGACAGCGTGTTCCACACAGGAGAACTTTCTTTTATCTGGAGCAGCTTATTCTGAAGCATGATGCTGCTGTCCATGCCATTAAAATTAAGCAGATGGATCAAGGTATTGATTTTTTCTTTGGAAACAGGAGTCATGCTGTGAAATTTGTCGAATTTGTGGGTAAAGTTGCTCCAACAAAGAGTAGACATGACAAACAGCTTGTTTCTCATGATCCTAAGAATAATAACTACAATTATAAGTACACATTCTCTGTTGAAATATCCCCCATTTGCCGTGAGGATTTGATTTGTTTGCCTCCAAAAGTTGCTGCTAGTTTGGGGAATCTTGGTCCACTTGTGATCTGCACAAAAGTGACAAACAATATTACATTGCTGGATCCTTTTACTCTGAGGCAGTGTTTCTTGGACACTGACCAGTATTGGAGGCATTCCTTTAAGTCTCTACTTGGTAGCAGGCAGCTGGTGGAATATGATGTTTTTAACGTTGAAGTTGTTTCTCCTGAATATAATGTTGGGGGCTCCAAATATGTTTTAGCAGATATTGAGGTGGCTCGTATAACTGATTATGGAAAGTTGTTTTACATAAGAACACATCTAGGCCATATTTTAAAGCCTGGAGATCGTGCTCTTGGTTATGATCTTTATGGGGCTAACAGTAATGATATGGAACTAGACAAGTATAAAGGACTTGTTCTTCCGGAGGCGATTTTGATAAAGAAGAGCTATGAAGAGAAGCGCCAAAAGAAGCGTGGGAAGCCTCGTTCGTGGAAGCTGAAGTCCCTTGATATGGAAGTTGATGATACTAAAGGTAGAGCTTATGAAGAGAAAATGAACTCAGAGTACGAAGAGTTCTTGAGAGATCTGGAAGAGAACCCTGAATTAAGGTTCAACTTATCACTGTACCGCAACAAAGATTACCAGCCATCAGAAATGGCATCAGCGTCTGAAGGGGATGATATGCCTTCTGTTCCACTGGAAGAGTTGCTTGCTGATCTTGATTTGAGTGAACAGGAAGATGGTGAAGATAGCATGAGGGAATGATTTAAGTTGTCTTTTTCTTGTACTTTTTCTGAGTCTTGCCTTAATATGATGTTTGAGTTATTGCTTTGTGTTCTCAGTTTATCTTTTTTTTTTTTTTTTTTTGTGATAAAGTATATAAATAGTAGAATCAATTTTGTTACTACCCAGGATCAAACCGGGGACCTTTAAGCGTGTAAGCCTACATAAATATAAAAAAAAACTGCGTTATTTCTGTTTGTTTGGAGAAGTTATTTGATAATTAACTATACAATTTAACAATTCAATAAAGCATGGTGAGTTCTTCAATATCTTTTAATATGTAGGATCAAACATAAGTGGTCTATCTCTTAAATGGTGCCTCTTGGCAGGTACAATAAAGTTCCAAAAGAAGCAAGGTCACAGGAGTAAATGAAGAGGCAGACAGATTGTAGAAAATCTGGAAGCACTTGCTAATCTAATGATGATTTGAAGATATAAGCCAAATGATGAGGCTAATATGCATGCTTTGTTTTGGATTTTGTTGAAATGGGTTAAGTTGAAGAAGCAACCGCAACTCTGATTCAAGACATTGCAAAAACAAACAAAGGCAAGCTCACCTACACGTATGCACGCGTGTGTACACACACTAAATTATTAAAATATTAATTGAATATGAAATCATAAAAGAATATAAAGATTTTAATTAATTTCAAATCAGTATAATTTAGATCTACATGCTAAGTTTAGGCTTGTAGCGGGTTCTATATTATTAAATATTTATTTTTAACTTTGAAATATATTTAAAGTATCAAATATTAATGCAAAAGCTTTTAATATTTTAATAATAAATATATTAAATAGATTGATTTGATTAGAGGAGTTTGAGTCTAAATTTTAGAGGTGTCAATGGACCCAACTCGACTCAGAGTTGATTGAATAATAAAAAAAAAAATTGGATTGCAGCAAAAGGAGGACAGCCAAAATTTCAAAGCTTTGTTCTAAAGCTTTGTCTAAAGTCACCTCAAATTATCTTCCTCACAGTTAAAGCAGTGCAAGTTGTAACAAAATTAAGATGTGTCTTTCTGCTGCTAGGTTGTCAACATATAGATTTTCAGCTACACTGATTCACAAAGAAACCATGGTTGCCCATTCCATGCTCAGCGGTCAATGATTATGGGCTTTTATTTTCTCACTATTTGGGTGCAGACAAAAAGGGCAGATGGGGTTTGAAAAATAGTGGTAATACACAAAAGCTGTTGAGAGTGATTAAAATATGATTCAAGGTTTGCATAACTCATTGCATGGATTAAGTTTTGTAGGCCTCCTTTTTCTCTGTGAGTGCTGCCATATTATACAAATTGGTCCAATAATAGTGGCAAGTGGCAAGTGGCAAGTGGCAAGTGGCATGCATTTTTTCCTGGATGTGATTATGCTAATGGAGGACAGGCTTAAAGGGCAAATATGCAAATCATACAACAAATTATTGATTGCAATTGGGAATCAAAGGAACCATAGCAAGGTTTCAGAGATTTTCCTTCTTTTTATCTGGACAACTTGACTACTCAAGTGGTCCTCTTTAGATCTTTGTATCATATATGTCATTTTTCTTTAAATTCATTATTACTTCTTTAATGAGTTCCCAATACTTTTTCTTGTCCTAGTAGCAAAAAACCTCTCAATTTTCTTTGGAAACAAATACTATCATTACATTATAGGTTTAGGACCAGTATCAGGTCAAATCGGAAATATGATGCATGAAACTGTACTAAGAATCATTTTGATAAATAAATAAATAAATAAAATTGTTTACCATTTAAACAAGTAAGAAAAAGAAAAAAAAATAGGAAGATCTGTCACAAGAAATGGACTTCCATAGCAGGTCTCAAAAGCAAACTGCAAGAATAAGAAAAAAAAACAAAGAAGCAGAGTCCCATTTACATGTGAAGCCTATAGCATGCATTAGGCTGCCATATATGACAAATTTTGGTATTCCTATCAACCCATTAGCCTTTGCTTTGCTCTGATATATGCCATCACCATCTAGGACAAACATTATCAGCAGAATAAAACATGTTTTAGAAATATGCTATTCCTTTGTTTGTTGTTTGCCATGTGTGGTAGATGTTGGCATACCAACCCATCTTCACAAATGGTGACACAGCAATCAGATTATCCTCCCTTTGAATCTTCACTAATTTTTACTTTCTTGGTAAGAATATATTATGTTCCATTTCTAAAATGAAAAAAAAAGGTAAAGTTTAGAGGATGAACATGTTGAAAAATTTTGTATTGTGAAGCCAAAAAATGAGAAGATGAAAAGGGATATCCATATTAAAGATGTGATTTGTAATTCCACTAACTGGCGTGTGGTAATGGAAATATTCAAGCACTGTTAGTTTGGCAGCAAACACACCAAAGAAAGTGATAGTTGTCTTTGTCTGCTAGTAAACATGTTTTCTTTTTTGATATATTTGTTTAGGCACAGATAAACCCACCTCGGTGGCACACGCTCAATGGAACTTCACGCATCATCATCGTTTCAAGTTGTAAGATGAGCCTAACACAACCCCAGAAGACATTAAACAAAACAAAATCGTAAGTATATCCACTTTCATGTTCTTTTTCTAACATATGACTTTCTTTTTCTTTTTTATTTTTTTGTTTGGAATATGCTAAGGTTACTGTTGTTAGTTAACGACACAGAAATGAGAAATGAAAATTTTACTTTTCTCTGCTTCTCTCTCCTGCCCAAGCTGCCCGTTTTCTCTGTTTCAAGCTGCCCAACCTGCCCCTTGTTGAACACTTTCCCTCTTTCTCAAGCAGCCCTTCTTTGTTTCTCTCTCTCTCTCTCTGTCTCTCAAAAACGCCCTTTTGACTAAATTTCATAAACTGGGTCTTAGTGATTATCAGCTAAAAATCCATTTTTGGATGTGTTTGATTTCCTAAAATCACTTGTTTTGAGCTGTTTTAAGATGGGTTTTTCTGTTTTATGACTACAAGGTCTTGTGGTTTGCTGGCAAAAAAAATTCTTTTTCCGAGGAATTTTGATGGTTTTAGATCGGTTTTAGAAATATGGGTTTTAGTCATCAGTCTGAAAAAGTTGAGGAGAAAAAATCGTTTAGGAAGAAGAAAGATGGGGGAGAAGAAGAAACAGGATGTTGGGTAAAATTAAGGTTTATGGGAAGTTGCATGTCTTCAAGATCAAGGGTTGATAACTCTATGAGTGGAAGAACAGGCACTCATTATGGTAATCTTCTCTTTTCTTTCTCTTTTATTTATTTATTTATTTATCTTTTAAAAAAGGAATATTATAAGTTTTAGGTGTGAAAAAGTGTTTGCTTTTTTCAATAGGTTGAGGTGCAGGGATATTATCATTTGTTGAGAACATTTAGGAGAAAGAATTGTATTGATATAAATGAAGAGCTGGAAAATTTTAAGATTGTATAGCCCACTTTTTCGTATTCAAGTACCTATCTTAAATTGTAAATAAACAGAGAAGAAAAGATTTGTATTTATACTGCATATAAATTCATCTGAAATTAATAAATTGTTCTTTTTTATGGTTTTATCATCTTTTTTAAAGGTAAATATATTAGTGATCAAATTTATTTTTTGGAAAATATAATTAGTTTGAGGAAGAGATGGAGCCTCTGCAAAAGTTATTCATTTAATGGTTTTCTCACATGTTATATAAGGTTGGTTAATTAAGCTAACATAATATTTTAGGGGCTATTTTACTGTATTTGCATGTTAATGGGTTAATGGTTTTTTTTTTCCCTTTCCGTTTGGCACCGGGTAAGTTTTGCTGAGTGAGGTAATCAGTTGAAAGCAACTAGTTTTCTACCACTTATTATTTTGGAAAGGCAATACTTATATGATTAGCCTTGAAGCATTGGATGCAATTTTCCAAACATTTAGTGTGTGATAAATGCATCTATATGACATGGTATCTGATAGTTACTATTTTTGGTATTGTTGCATGACCATTAATTTTACTGCCTTGGTGTTTGTATAATTCAGCGGAAAGCAAACCTACAAAAGAGAAAAGCAGAGATCAACCAGTCGTTCCAGTGTCTTCTACAACCACTAGTAATGCAGAAAGTGCTTCATCCACACCAAAATTCAGTGAGGAACTGAAAGTCGCTTCACAGCTTCGGAAGTTTACATTTATTGACCTTAAATTAGCAACCAGAAATTTCAGACCTGAGAGTCTTCTTGGTGAGGGTGGGTTTGGTTGTGTCTTCAAAGGTTGGATCGAGGAAAATGGAACTGCTCCTGTGAAACCTGGTACTGGGCTTACTGTTGCTGTCAAAACCCTAAACATTGATGGACTTCAGGGTCACAAAGAATGGCTGGTATGACATCTGAACTCTCTTTTTCCTTTTCTGAATGATGTTTATTTTCAATCTTATCTATTTAAAATTTCGTGTTTTCTCTCATATGTCAGGCTGAAGTGGATTTTCTTGGTAACCTCCTCCATCCAAATTTGGTTAAATTGGTAGGTTACTGCATTGAAGATGATCACAGATTACTGGTATATGAATTTATGCCTCGAGGAAGTTTGGAGAACCACCTTTTCAGAAGTATGTAATCATCTTTGGTTTGTAATATACCTTTAGCATGGTTTATGTGATTGTTTAAGCAAAGTAATGTGGCACTTAAATGGCTCAGTTGAATATGTGGCCAATGACATTCATAGGTTGTGTGATTTGGATGCTTTGCTATACATGTCTGATTACTAGAATGTTTTTTAACTTGGGTTGAACAGAGATTCAAGGCTTTGTTATTGGAAGGTATTCTCATCAGTTGTTCAAAATTTAGCGTAGAGACTATTATGATACCTCAAGTGATCCTCTATATCATGTTATAGTATCATACTTTATTTACATTTGACATGTATGTTTTGTCCATGTAAGCTTGTACACTGATTTGGCACTGAAAAGATTCATCAAATAATTGGAATTTGGCAGTTAGGGTCCCATGTTAAAAGTGATCCTTCTGTGATCATAGCAAGTTCTAACATTAGAATTGTCTTTTTCATTTTTATTTGTGTAAAAGAATCAACTGTGTGAAGTAGCTGAGTAAATGTCTGGCAACATAACTTGTATGCTAGCATTAGTTTTGTATTTGCTGTGTTTCAGCATAGCCAAAGTGACATATTCTTTGAAACTTCGTCAAAGTGACATACCATCTTAATATTCTCTTAGCATTGTCTTACAGTGCTGCACCATCTTATGCTGATCAATGTCCTTTCTCCTTGTTGCCTGAGTTTGTCATACAATGTTGTCTAAATGGTAGTTGAATGACCACTTATGGTGGGAACGAAATATCTGTTGCTTGGGATTATCACTATTGTTGCCATTGTGCCCTTGTGCATTTGCATGTACATTGTTGATGTTTAATTTTCTCTGGTGACAACCATTTTTTACGCAGAAGGGTCCTTGCCACTTCCTTGGTCAATTAGAATGAAAATTGCACTTGGTGCTGCAAAGGGTCTGGCCTTTCTTCATGAAGAAGCAGAAAGACCAGTGATATATCGTGATTTTAAAACATCTAATATCTTGTTAGATGCGGTAAGTAACTAATACAGAAAAATAGCAAGTTTCTTCCCTAATTTTAATCCTTCTTTCTCTAATAGAGTTACCAATTTCAGGATTACAATGCCAAGCTCTCCGATTTTGGACTGGCAAAGGATGGTCCTGAAGGAGATAAAACTCATGTATCTACTCGAGTTATGGGAACTTATGGCTATGCTGCACCAGAATATGTAATGACTGGTATGTGGTAGAATCACTTTATTTGTGGATATGATGTTTCATGAACTATTTTCCTTTATCTCCAATTTTCTTTCTGCTCCGCTTTTGGAATTAGCCCTCCATTGATATGCATTTATCAAAAAGTGTTAACCATTTTAGAGAGATTTTGTTTCCTTTTAAGATTGTATCTTTATTACTTTCTATAATGTGTAGACATTTGGAAAGTTCTTTTATCAAGATCTATGGTTACATAAATCTAATACAGTTATTAATTTAGGACATTTGACATCAAAGAGCGATGTCTATAGCTTTGGAGTAGTTTTACTTGAAATGTTGACTGGCCGAAGATCCATGGACAAAAACCGACCAAATGGGGAGCACAATCTTGTGGAATGGGCAAGACCACATCTAGGGGACAAGAGAAGGTTCTTCCGAATATTAGACCCTCGCCTTGAAGGCCACTTTTCTATCAAAGGTGCACAGAAAGCTGCCCAGCTGGCTGCCCAATGTCTTAGCCGTGATCCCAAAGCCAGACCTCGGATGAGTGAAGTTGTTGAAACCCTAAAACCTCTACCAAACCTTAAAGATATGGCCAGCTCTTCCTCTTACTTCCAAACTATGCAATCTGATCGTAGGTCCAACTTAAATGCCAAAAATGGAATCAGAACACAGGCAGGATTTGTAGTGAGGAATGGACAACCTATAAGGAGCTTATCTAGTTCAAATGGTCCACAGGCTTCTCCATTTCACCATCCTCACCGTTCACCAAAGCCTAAAGCAAAAGAAGCATAGGTTAAAGTTTCTGTATGTTCATATCCAGAATTTGGTTCCTCTCTGGTGTCTGCTTCTTCAGACTGCGTTATCAACAGATAATAGGGGGTGCCTTTGCCATTTCTTTGACAAGGATTGTTTATATTCCGCTGTTTTATTGTACAAGTAGAACTGAACAAGTCATACTGGACGTGCAGCATCATGGTCAGTTCATTGAACTCAAGGAAGCCGGTCTCATTTATTTCTCTCTTTCTTTACTATCCTATACGTTTTATCTGGGATATTCAGATTACGTTGGAGAATAGAGAATGAAATTTACTCTGGTAATGGATTATGTTTATGTCAGCATGCTGATGAAGAGGGGGATACGAAAGCAGTTGGTAGGCTCGAACATCATGTGGTTGAACTAGGGTGATGGTAGGTGAATGTGAAGGCAATGCTGAGGCTAATTAATGTAACTTTTTGTTTTTCTTCTCTTTTTTCCCTCTTTGGAATGTGGTCATTAAGAGTGCTGCTACCCACTCTTTCACCTCAAAATTACCCTCTAGATTGCTGCTGTTGTACAAATGGATCTCTTTTTAAGTCTTAACATAAGAACTTGTGTAAAAACATAGGGTGTTGTTGTGACTCCTTTTCTGCATTAGTTGACTCAAAGGTTTTATGTTTCTTAACCTGTTCTGAATTATAAAATTGGTCGTGAAATACAGTAATGAATGGTTTGGTGGCTCTTCCCTGAACATACCGAATGGAAAATGCTTGGTTGGGTGCATGTGAAATCCTCCAAACATAGAAGAAGACTGAGAAAAGAAGAAGGAAGTGAATGTAGGGGGTAAGGGGGTGGTCGTTTTGTGGTGTCCCACTCGAGATTCGAATCAAATCACAAGAGGCAAATGTTGAAGAATGATGGTATCACGGTCACACTCCCATTAGTTAGTCCAAAGTTCGTTTGGTGTCACAATCATGTAATTATCTTCACCTACTCTTTCTTCCACTTCCATATAATCGTATGGTGCTTGCAAAGACAAAGTGATCATTTTTGGTTGGGGAATCCCAAGAAAATTACTTTTTCATTTTTCTAAGCACATGGTTTAATTTGACCAAAAATCAGGAATAAATGGGACACTTATCCTGGCACTCCCGAGTTTCGATTGGTTGCATGAGTATACCTTACCATTTGTTGGGTTGGCCACACAAGCAATATTTTAAAAGGAAAACACCCAGCTTTGAGTTTTATCATAAATTGTTCGTTTGACAATCAGTAACTGGATAGAGTCCACGGTGACAGTTATTATTCCAATGAAGGAACACTACCCTTACCCTAACACACTTTGATGATGTTCCAAGTAGTCTAGGGCTAGACTGAATTATGTTTTTATTTAGTTTTGTCGTATTCATTATTTACTTTACCTGCATTTCAGCTAGATTAAGTTGAGCAATTTTCATATTTGTGGATTGTCATATTTCTATTAGGTCTAGGTGGGTTATCACTATAAATAACTCCTTTAGGTTTCATTATAAGGCACCAAGCCACTAACCAAGCAGTCAACACAGTTCTTGTTTCTTAGGTTTCCGTCTTACTTTGGTGGTTAGGCTTACCTAGCCTCGCCTTCCTGCACGCCGCAAAACACAAGTACTTCTCTTTTCGAAGGCATCTTCCATGTACAACTCTGTGCTTTCTGTTTGGTTCCTGAGAAACCACGGGAAACTTGAGGATTTTGTTTACATTATATATATAAAGATTTTTTTTTTCTCATTTCTCATATTTTAGTTTTTTGGGTTATGCCTGTTTTCTGCTAGGATAACATGAAGCTTAACAGAGTATGAAAGAAGAAGAGAGAAAGATAGGATCAAAAACATTACTTCATTAAGTTAACATAAGGTTTATATACCCTGTTTACATGATGAACACTTGTAAATATATATACTTAACAATTGTAAGTGAAGATTACATGTAAACTAACACGAAAAGGGACAGCTCAAAACAACATTACATCATTAATTACGGTACGACGAAGCAAACTGAAACAAACTAAGAAAATAAACTTAGTTAAGAGTAAACCACTTGCTGCATGCATGTAAGTTCTGTTCCTCAACATTTTCCATGCAACTTTTCTTTTGCTGCTTGGTTCCTGAGAAAGAAACCATAGGGACTTCTGAGACTCTTGCAATGCAGTAGTTTCTAACGAATTCTTTATTATTATTATTATTATTATTTGTATATATTAACGTTAAATTCTTTTTTTTTCTTGTTTGTTGACTGTATCACTTGGGAAAAGTTGTACTTTTCCCAAAAAAAATATAAGAAAACAAAAGAGAGTTAGGCCTTATATGTGTCTGGTTTTTGTTGTCTTGAGTTTCTTTGGAGTCAAGTTTTGTTGACTGTTTTACTCTTAGGGCATTTTAAAATATAATCTTTTAAAGATAAAATATTTTTTATTTATAATTTTAATTATTTTTAATCAAATTGGATAAAATTACTTTTAATGATGTTACAAGTTATGTATATAATGTTACACATCATGTTGTAAAAATATTATTGTTATCAGGAATGGTAAAGGGTACCCTATTACATGTTACCTGACCCGATTATATAAGGTTAGGGTACCTTATAATCGGATTCGGATAGTAATTTTACTACCCGTATTGGGTTCGAATACTACCCCTTGATTACCTGATACCTAAACTCGATTATGTTTTTTTTTAAAAATTTTATGCAATTAAATTCGAATCTATATTGTTAATTAAATTAATTCATGAAACTATGATTATTAATTAATTTGTAATATCTTTTAATACATATACTCTATATATTGAGTTAATTTATAAAAAATATAATTACTATTATATACATACTTTAAATATATAACATATTTACTTTCTATTTTACATTAACGTTATAAAAATTATAACTTATAAAATTATTACTTGTAATATATATATTTTGTTTATATAAACTTATAAATTATATACTTAAAAGGAAGTTGTAAGATTAAAACAGTTTTGAAACTTAGTTATTTTATTTAATTTCATGTAATTAATAATAAAACCATATAGTTAATTAAACTTGTAATATTGTTTAACTTGTTGGTTGGATATTTGTTTTTAGTTGTTTAAGTTGATACTTGAGATATTTATTTTTGATTATTTAAATTTAAATTTTATTGTTTGTGTGCTTTTGTAAATTTAATTATTAATAAATTATATGAAATATAGATGAAAATATTATTGTATATAAATACAGGTACAGATTCAGGTTCGGGTAATTAGGTATCCTTGAAGAGCATTTTAATATTTTTTTTACATAATCAACTTTTAAAATGGGTTTAGGTAATTATCAGGTAGTGTGTATGTATTAAGGTTTGGGTTAAGGTAGTAAATTTTAAAAAAAATATAGGCAATTATAAAGTTTGGGTATTTCATTGACTAATCAAGTTCGGATTCGAGTTTTTCAAAATTAGTAGGTAGCCTACTCATTGACATCCCTAATTGTTACATTGTTAAGACAAAAATATATTACACGCCATGGATAAAAAATGTTGTTGTACATTATGTTGAAAACAAATATTATTATTACATGTTTTATATAAAAATATGTTATACGTCATGATTAAAACAAAGTTATTATACGTCATGTTGAAAAAAAAATATCGTTGTTACACACCATGTTGAAAAAAAAATATTGTTATTACACGTCATGTATAAAAACATGCTATACGTTATGGTTAAAAAAAGTTGTTATACATTATGTTGAAAAAAAATATTAGTGTTATACGCTATGTATAAAAATTTGTTACACGTCATATTAAAAAAAAGTTATTATTATACACCATGTTAAAAAAATATTATTGTTACACGTCATGTTAAAAACAATTTTTTTTACATTTCAATGTCTAAAATGTTGTTGTTACTTATAAACCAAAATTTCAAATCCTCTTAACTCTTTTCATTTCTTTTTGTTTTTTTTTTGATAATTTGACACCGATTAAAGTTTTTCTAATATGTTTTCATAAATCAAAACATAAAT